ACTGGAGATCTCTAAAGTAGTGTGGGCTCTGGAAAGACCCTGTTTACCAGGCCAGAAAAGTAAAACTTGGGACCAAGTTAATGCAGCGCGGGAAAAGATGCCCAATTGTGTTATAAAAGATGTGAGGTCAAGGTTTCCTAACCCTCCAGGCATTCCTTACATGGGGCATAAAAGGGAATAAGCAAATTGTCATACAAATGCCCATGTCAAGGAGAGCAATTATAAATAACAATTGAATAAGTTCATGAAACATGTACAGTCAAAAGAAAATTAAGAGGTCGAAACATCAATAAAACTGCATGGAAAGTCCCTTGAGTAATACCTACACTGTAATACTCATGAATGCTTCACTACTTAGTACCAGCAGTTGCTGTAATTATTTTTCCCTTGTTACCTCACATCTTTTAACAAGATGTGAGGTAAGACATTTGAGCTCCCATTTAAAGTTATCGCAGGAAGTCAGAATCACTGGTAAGCAGAATGGACATTAGTTATTTAGATTTAAAAAGGTAGACCAGATGGTTTAATTCCCTGAATTTGAATGTTTTTGCAGTAAAAACCCTGATCTCTGCCGGACGATTCGGATGCCTGGCATGTTAGTACATCTGCAGAGACATTATACATCTCTATTCACATTTTCATTCTGCAAGAGAAATAAGTCAATAAGAAAGAGTAAGCATAGCATTCGAAAAGTGCCAAAGCAATTGTGCAGAATTAACAACAGCATAAGTCTTTTACCCAATCAAGAATGACTAGTTCCATGTGCATGTTGTAGGTGTCATCCCCATAATGGATCCACTTAGCAGCATTAAATGAGCATCACTGAATGGAGAGATTCAAAACAGTATGTTTTCCTACACTGCAGAAGTTAACAGATTTTGAGTGGCTTTTTCTGTAACTGGAACATGAATTTTTTGTAACTCTTTCAAGGCCTTTACTGCAACATCACTGATTTGGCAAAGGCAAACTTTTTCACGCAAAGAAACAAAAACATACAGTAGCATGTGCCAATTAATTACCCGCATGTAATCATATGCATGTCTGTATATTGAGGTGCCCATAATGGCTTTCCTATATGCAGCTACAGCTTCAGGTTTAGTTCAAACCTTTTGCTCATTAGGTAGCCATTCTACTTGCACCGTGACTTTGAATGGCAATTGACATGATTTCCCTGAGTCATAAATAAAGAAAATTATAGAAAAACAAATGAATAGATCAGTATTAATAATAGTAAGTATAATGCTTCTGGTTTTACCTTTTTACAGAAAATTGTGTAATCTTTGAGTTCATGAATTATGCTATATGTCTTGTTGGTATTACATAACACAATCTGTTCATAATAACAAAAATTAATAATAATAATTTTGACTTTGTGAAATTGTTCTTTTGAAGGAGTAACCTGAGAAAAACTCTTTGTACCTTATGACTACTACGCATTCTCTCAATAAACAGTCATTCAAATTACCTGATAATGGTCAGCAACAATCAGCAGGTTAGCCTGAAATTCTTGCTCACTGAGTAGACTGTTCTTCATGCAGAAGTACACATGAAAAATAAATAAACAAACAAAAAAAAGAATTACGGTAGTCACACTATAAAGGAGTTCTCTGCCCTCCATACTCATATTACATCAATGGTAGGATATTATTGAGGATGCAAAATTAATGTATCATATCTTGGGTATCTGTTAAAAAAGTCAGCAGCTCTTTTGTCATAGGGACTTCACAGCTCACTGCTGAAGTTTCACTAGACCTACTCCAGTTTACAACTCCTAAAACTTTTTTGGTTCTAAACAGAATCAGTAAAAATAAAAATATTTTTAGGAATAGCATTGAGTATATCTAGGTTCAACATATCATACAAAGACTTCAAAAGCATCTTATGAGAAAGGACTGACACTGTCGTGTGTGCTGCTGATCTACTCAAATCATGGCTTGCATCTGTAATAACACACTACAGGAAGAAATGGTAGAAATCAAAACATAACATTGAACCTCTTTTTGTACTCACAAATTTCTCAGGGTTTACAATTTGATAACAGATATTGTACTGTGCTTAGATGTGCTAGTCAGCAGAACTTTGCAGAAGTCTAAAACATCTCATGCATCAAACTGACTGCTTGCAGACATCCTGGCTTGCAAAAAGGAATTATTGAAAAAAAACTCATGCATGCACCTCCCATACTCTAAGACTGGTGTATAAGTATGTGGCCAAAGACAAAATAAAATTGAAATCAACTTGTACCTCTCCATTTACAATATACCCAGGGGTGCTTTTCACTTCTTCCTAGGCAGCAGACATGGACTCATTGCAAACCCTTTTCACAATGGTTGCATAACAATGCTTTTTCAAGACTGTTGAAGTAATTAAAAAAAAGAGGTATTTTAGAATTCAAATAAGAGAGAAACCAAATAAGAAACTGTTCAGTCCATTTGAGGTGTTTTGGTGGAGAGATCATCGTTTGGCTTCCTGTTAACTGTTGTTGACTGCCATTTGCTTGCAAGAAGAATTACAACACAGGAACATTATAAGAAAGTGCATTGCCAATCTATGAAAAACAGAGGCAGACAAGTGACCAGTTACAACAAAACTCAAGAATACAGAGAGAGCGAATTTCAGAAAATTTCCAGCAGAAAACGAAAAGGTACTTACCTCAAATTTACATAGTACTTTGGAGGAGATCCTCCCATGATAGAGGAGGAGAGCCACTTGAATGAATCTCCACATACACATGAAACTGTTACGGACACAACGTGACTTTGTCGATTGAAGATTAGTAAATCGCAATCAATGAGTTTTCCATAGTAACAGCATGCTGTGGAGAGAGTGTTACAAAAAAAAAAATACAGAGTTCGCAGAGCTTCCTCGCTGAAGAGATACACCATGTATATGGGGTCGTTCTCTGCTGAAGGCGCGGTGATCTGCATTCTTTGTGGTGTATGTTCTGCATGTGGAGGGGAAACTGGAGAAACAGCATCAGAGGAAGGCAAAGAAATACCCAAAGATGGAGTGGAAGACGCTAAAGGAAAAGAAAACCGTGTGGTAGATGGTGTAGAAACAAGAGAGGGGTCCGGACTAGCTGTGCTTCCAGTTGATGATAAGCTCAGTTGGCTCGATGTCAGTCCTTTCCTCTCCATTTTCTCCTCAAAAGCTAACAGAAGAGCCTCCATCAGATCCGCACCATGTGTACCTGAGGTCGCTTTTGTTAGATTTAGCGCGCCTTTTGCCATTTAGACGCGGTCTTTGATGCCAAGAACTTTGCTCTCTTGAGGAAGCTCTCTGTTGAAAGAGAACTGATGACCTCGATCTGTTGGACGCTTTTTCTTGCGCATAGATGGGTTATTTCCGTCAGCTACAACGCACAAAATTCACAATAAATATCCTTCGAGCAGCGACAGCTAAGAAAGTTGCCGAACAACCACTAGAGTTGTGAGATTCTGGATGCTAATCTCACTTACTCAGAGCCATTGTCAGCAATAATGTTGCGCATGCAGTATTTATGACGCCGCTAGTCTCAGTGGGAATAGTCTGAAGGCTCAACCAACCGATGCGTACAAGGGGCGTGGGGTTGTTAGCCGAAGTTACACGGCACGAATTTTTAAAAGACAACTGTACGACTGCATAGTCGACCGTAGATCGCACTTTGAACGGCCGAACGATGTGTTGGTGCCAAATAAAATCCAAATAAGCTAAGTTATGGGAATGAGAGTCAACAAGAGTCAATATCTTCTAATTTTTGACCCAAAATAATACTTTTACTGCGTCTTCCATGCACACCGTTACACTTATGGTCAGACCGTTGGTCGCAATATTGGATGATTCCTTCATTTGAGCTGAAATCAAGGGGCGCAGCCAACCTATTTATAGCGCGCCTTCGTGTTTAAACCTCAAGGCGTGAACGCGTCGTCACGTGACCTTTAAGATAGTAACGGGAGGAATTTACATAGCAACCGGCCATCGTACTTATATAATTAACTAATTAAATAATTAATTAATTGTACAAAAATTATTTTTACTACTTTATATCTGCAACGATTACGATATTTCCGGGTGCAGATTCTTAAAACTTTTCCAATCTTTTTTTTTTAGCACAAAAGCTCACGAATAAAATAGATACCGGGATAGTACGAAAGTGCACGGTGCGCGAAATATGAAACCTTTATGCATTTTCTTTCCAGAATTTATCATAATTGTACACCGTTCATAATTGTACACCGTACATAATTGTACACCGTTCCTCTTAAGTACAACACTTTGATACAATTTGTCATCCAAAGAAAAACTCGATAAAATATTTCCATTTGTACTACAAAGACGATAGGATTCCACAGAACTTGGTTGTCTATGAAGATGCAAAGTAATAAAGTTTACCTAAATCAATTACGGGTCAAACAATAATAAATCCTTAGAAAAAAATAAGGCGATGTCCATAGGTATCCGGAAAGGATACGATATCCTTATCCGGAAATGATACTTTGGAAATGAATACTGCTCTTAAAGGCACCAAGTTTAGTATCAATATTGCTTTTTAACTTGTCAAAGATTCAATCTACAAGATCGGCGATAAGTTCTGAACCGAAAGAGCTTCTCCGCGAGATTATTCGAATGTGCTCACCTCCAGATGTATCGCCAGCAGCTGGGTTCATATTACAAGGGTAGAAATTATCGTAACCGTATGCGCTATCTTAAATCTGCAAACTTGGGGTGAACACTCTTGCACATGACATCTTTATCTACTTGGTCAAATTACAAATAACTGGCCATTATTAGAATGTGTAATAAATCCTCGTCAGGAAATATAAGAAAATACACTTGCATAAATGTGCCCTCCGACCAAAGGGAAATTTATATTCTAGATACATGTAGGCCTGAAATAAAATTCACTGTAGTTTCAGTACTATCCGGATTGATATATCAAGGAAATATCATACAAAAGTTAAAAGAAAAATCATTTTTGCTGCAAATGTTTCTTTTCAAGCTAGAATTGAATCTCGATTCTTGCGTTGATACAAGCATATGCAATAGACCGTCAAACAAAGAATCGTTCTCTCTTTCTTTTTTATCCTATTCTTTGGAGCATTTTTATATCAAAGCGGAGAACTGGAATCTCTACTTGAGGAAATTACCAAAGTATTGTGCGAACATAGTGTAGTGCACCGCGGTTAAATTGAAAAGCGTTTACTCACGTCCATTACACACTTACTCTTAACCAAAAAAAGGACTGCATATCCTAGAATAAATCGAATACATGCGATATATATGCATGCAAATCCGTAGGTCCTGAGTGTATTAAAAGTTGTTGCTTACTGTTGCTTGCGGATCATGATTACTTTATCAAGAATTACGATCTAGACTTGTCTTATATTCCAAAAAGGATCATGATTACACAGTGTCTTATCCTGGACTAAAACTCTAACTATAATTTTCTATCTAAAAAGCACTAACTAAACATGGAGACGTCAGTCTAACCAAACTATCAAGAGACCAACAAGCGATTAGTAAAGTAACCAGATCATTCGGCTTAAATGAAAACCCTGAAAACTTCTTAAAGTTCTAAATTAAGGGTTAACAAATTTGCGTAAATGAAATGTCAAAACAAAAATATATTATCAACACAACGACACTATGATGTATTGACAGGTTATACCTGATCTGGTTTCAGTCATCTTTACCACGCGCTGGTCTTTGGCTGGCCCATAATGACATTTGTAAATTAACTGCAAAAATTACAAAATTGCGAAAAAATTATCTCTCCTTACATTTCAAAATGACAAAGAAAAAGCTTCCTTTCCACAAGGTTAGGCTTTTAATTTTGCATTACTGCGCAACACCTTATTACGAAACATTGATACACTGTTTCAAATGGTCCTTGACAAAACGACTGTGTTCTCAGTTCATTTCTTAATCGTAAAGGAAATGCCACCAAAGAAAGCACGAACGCCCTGTGGATTCTCAGAAATAGGATTGGCCAATGGCTAATACATGTTACATGGATAGATGTCTGATATATCGGCTCCGCGCGATCAACGAAATGTAATAATGCCGTGGACACGTTTGGCTCAAAATATGAATCTCTTGCATTATCAGTAGCTTTGCTTCTTACCCAAAACATTTCTCACCACTTGAAGGTATTGATGATATCGATAATGCATCTATATTAGCAATGCAGCTGAACGCCCGTTACACAAACTAACTGCCATCATTTGTTGACAGGTACTTGGACAACAACCAGTTGGAGGACTTGCCAAAAGAGATATTTATGAACAATACCAACCTACAGGACCTGTGAGTCAAAAATGAAGCCTATTCCTCCTAATTTTAATCCTGCAGCAATGTAAAAGGACAATGCACAGGGAAAACGAAAGTGTTAAAGAGATAGTTGTAACAGTTATTACACGGAAATGATCAGAAATATTCACCAAAGTTAAAAAAAAATGTACTATTGTTTAAAATAGAATATTAATAGACAAGGCCACACTTTGTAGTCGTCAATCAGAAAATCGTTATGATATATGTATATCAACCCAGTCCACAGGTTCTTAGCCTAGTTACCCTTTGAATTTTAGGGTGGGAGGAAGGAGGCGGGAGGGAAAGTTGCGTAGCCATTGGAGGCTTATTTCTTCCATCCTAGGGGGAGGACACTCGTCCACTTCCGCTTAATTCTGCCGGCGTGAACTCCCTAGCATCCTTTTTGCGGTAGAAAGCTTTACGGGTTACCAGGACAAGACATGAAATGAATGATAATCTTCTTTCTGCTGTGGATTCAAAGTATTTTGTAGGGGGCATGGGCGGAAGGTTTAAAGGAAAAGAGGCTTTAGCCCAATATCTCTACCTATAAAAAATAAATTACGCAAGTCAATAACGCTTCAGATATATTGTGACGAAATATATATGTAAAAAGTACTTGAGTCTTTCAATTCTACAAGAAATAAGGTGACTATGGTAAAAAGAGAATCAATTTAAATTGAATAAACCTATCTGAGACTCGCATGAGAAGAATATCATTAGTCTCCAAAAAGAAACAACAACTTTGAGTTTAAATTTACAAGACATGTTTCGACATTCTCATGTCATCTTCAGTTGCAAATGAGCATTTAACTGCTGTACATTTGAATTTATATTAAGGTACGTTACAAACTATGTGTCAGGGCTTACGTTACATTTGAATGTTAAAAACGCGAAATATGTAAATAGCGCGCGCTTGACTAGATCAAAACATAGTTAAACAAATAAATAAATAATAAAAATAAATTAAAAGACCAAGGAACAACATAAGTAAAAGGAAAGAGACAATTCTAGATGTTTCAGTTGCTGATTAAGGATAGGGTTTTCCCACTTAATATGCAATGCCTCTTTGATCTTAATTTGTTATTTTGAAGCGGCAGAATCTAAGATCGTCAAACATTCAGTATCACAAGAGTCAAGACAAGCCCTTGATGATTGCAGGTGCTTGTAAATATGCGAAGTTTTGTCCGACAAGAGGTGCTCACAAACTCGTGTACAAATGTGGCGAGTGGTCTCACCAATATAACTGACATTACAGCCAGCACATGAAAATTTATATATGACACGCGAACGTAGACCTAGCGGTACTGAATCTTTCACACTGAACATGTTTCTGAGTTTAAACGTACTGAAGACTAACTTAACATCTAAACCAGCTCTACAATAACGTTTGAGTAGTTGTCTTAACTTAGTCTGAGCGATGTTCGAAAACCGACCAACATAGGGAAGTTTATAATAGTGCGCAGAAGGTTTACCGGAGTTAGAAGAGGCGTTCTGCCCAGTAGGAGNCCATGCCTGGCGTTGATATAATCAAAGAACACGAGCGCGTCCTCCTCGCTATTGAACAAACAAAAGGTGTCATCAACATAGCGTCTGTAGAACAGAACTTCAGAGAATGAATAGTTATCTAGCCAGTTTTTTTTTTCATGATGTCCCATAAAGAGGTTTGCAAGTACTGGAGCAAGTGGGGACCCCATGGCAACCCCATCTAATTGATCATAACACACACCCTTAAAAAAGAGACCAGTCTCAGCTGTTGCGAAGGTAAATAGCGTTTTTAGGTCAGCGGCGTTTATCTTAATACCAGGGTTACCTTGATAAATGTATCTGATCGCCAGATCAATGCATTCATTAAGAGGTATACTAGTGAACAAACTCTCAACATCGAAAGATACCATCGAAAGATATTGTTCTTATTGGTGATTTTAATTGTGACTTGATGCCTGATTCAAGTAACATTAATGGTAGACGACTAAAAAATATCATGCAAAGTTTTGATCTTAAAAATGTCATTAGTGGTCCAACCCGAGTTACAGACCACTCTGAGTCGCTACTGGACCTTATCATCACCAGCCAGCCATCTAAACTGGACAAATCCTCGTCTATCGATATTGGTATCTCTGATCACCATTTGGTGTATGCTGTTTTAAGACTAGCCAGAAATAAAGG